TAAAGCTCCAAGGCTAGATGGATTCACTATGGCTTTCTACTAAAAATGTTGGGATGTAAATAAAGTTGATTTGTTGGAGGTCTTTAATGAATATTGGTACAAAGGAAAAGTAACTCAGGGTGCAAATTCCACCTTCATTGCAGTAATACCCAAGAAAAAAGAAGCTTTACATCCAAAGGATTACAGACCAATTAGTTTGGTGGGAAGCTTTTACAAAATTTTAGCGAAGGTCTTATCTGGGAGACTAAGCAAGGTTCTACTTATGGTGATTTCCCAAAACCAAGGAGCTTTTGTTAAGGGGAGACAAATAATAGATCAAATTTCGATAGCAAACGAATGTGGTGTGGAGGAAAGGAGGAAAAGAAAAGAAAAAGGTTTTATTTGCAAATTAGATCTTGAAAAGGCCTATGATTTTGTTAATCGGGAGTTCCTTTGGAGATTATGGAGAAATTGGGTTTTGGAGCCAAATGGAGAAAGTGGATAAAAGGCTGCATAAGCTCATGCCACTTATCTATTTTAATCAATGGAGTTTCAAGAGATTTTTTTCCAACAAGGAGTGGTTTGAGGCAAGGGGGTCCTCTCTCTCCAATGCTCTTCACGTTGGTGGCTGATGTGCTAACTAGAATGGTCTCGAAGGCAGATGAAATTAATAGTATAACCCTAACAAACCTCCCAATTTATTTCCTCTCTACATTCCAAATCCCAACCAAAGTAGCATGGAAGCTAGAGAAAATCATGAGGGATTTCCTTTGGGGACCAGGGGAGGAAAGGAAAGATCACTTGGTGAAGTGGGAGATAGTGTTTAGACCTAAGACTCAAGGGGGACTAGGGTTGGGAAACTTGAAACATAGAAATACAGCTCTACTTGGGAAATGGTTGTGGCATTTTCCTAAAGAGAAGGAGAGTTTGTGGCACAAAGTCATAATGAGCATTCATGGTGCTTCGGGCAACGGATGGGATGCAAAGATCTTGCCTCTCGCTTCAAGTTGTTCCCCCTGGAAAGCCATAAATGAGGTCATTCCTATCTTCCTGAACTTTACAAAATTCGATGTGGGAAATGGTAACAAAGTCCTCTTTTGGGAGGATGTTTGGGTGGGGGATACTCCCCTAAAATCTCAATTCCCTTTGCTTTTTGCTCTCTCTAACCTTAAAAAGAAGCCCATTGCTTGTTTTTGGAGTCTTTCTCCCTCAGGTCTAAACTGGAACTTTGGCTTCAGAAGGGGTTTAAGAGATAGAGAATGTGATCTAGTGATAAATTTGTTACGAGCTTTGGGGTCAGTCTTCTTGGATGTAAGGGTGGAAGATAACAGAGTTTGGACACCTTCCCCTTCTGGATATTTCTCTTGCGCTTCTTTTTTTGACACTCTAGTTTCCTTAGACTCTGGGAGGGGAGGTAACTTTCCTGCGAAAGAAAATTGGAGTTAGCTTATTCCCCAAAAAGTCCAAGCCTTCTTCTGATGGGGAGTTTACTTGGGGAAAGATAAATACTTGTGATGTTCTCCAAAGAAGAAGTCATTTTCTGTTTGGTCGTGCATCTCTTCTCTATTTGGTTGCAGGTGGGACCCTCTACGGGACTGTGCAACTCTTTTTAATCCAGCTTTCTTCAGGCAAGAAAAAAAAGAGAGGAAGATTACTATGGAAGACAGCAAGGGCAGCTACAATTTGGACTCTATGGGAGGAAAGAAATGAAAGACTGTTCAAAGACAAGGCAAGGAACTTGGAGGATATTGTTGAAAGAATAAAGACCAAAACAACAATGTGGGCAAAATCTTTGGAAGCTTTCAAATTGGTGGCAGTAGATGATATTATCAGAGCCTGGTTTGAAGTGGCCAATTCAGCAGCTATGAAAGAAAGAGTAGTTCTGGACTGGAAACCTCTTCAATCAAACAGACTAAAACTTAATTTTAATGGAAGCTCCTTGAGAAATCCTGGTTTGTCAGAAGTAGGAGTGTTCAAGGATGAAGCAGGGAAAGTGGTAACACTACTCTCAGGACTGATAGGAGTAGGGGATTTGGTAAGAGCAGAAATATCAGCCTTCAAGCCCTGAAACTAGCAAAACAAAGGGGTTTTAAGAACTTAGAAATAGAAGGTGATTGAAAATTAGTAATTTCATGGATGGATGATAACAATCCAGTAGTGTGGAAGTTCAGACATCTAATAAGAGAAATAAAGAGCTTAGCTAAGGATCTAGAGGCAAGTTTCAAATGGGTTAAGAGAACAGCAAATGGGATGGCTGATAAGTTGGCAAAGCAAGGGGCACATAGGGATCAACTATTCTAGGCAGATTTGGGATAATCTCTGTAAATTGGAAAAGGTTGTATTTCCTTTTTATCTAATCTATTATGAATTTGTAATCTCTTTTCTCTTAATGAAATGAAATACCTTTGATTACTGGTCAAAAAAAAATTGTCGGGGTCTGGAGAGAGGAGAGGGAAGGGTTAGGAGTGGAGTTAGAGAGAATGTTTCACTTTGAGGAGATGGCTTGGAGACAAAAATCAAGGGCCTTGTGGTTGACAGAAGGGGATAAGAGTACTTCTTTTCAGACCTTGGTAAGAGGTCGAGAAAGAGAAACACTATTGTTAGGTTTGGAAAAGGTGATAGAATAATTGATGAGCAGAAGTTGTTTCTGAGGGAATATGGAGTTTGATAGGATTGGGGATGAGTGGAAGGTCTGGAGGAAGAATTTATTTTCTAAATAAAAATATATTAAACACATATATTTCACTAATCTGTTTTTTTTAATAAGTAAAAGATCATTAAATTTCATCGAGATAAATAATGATAGACACTGTTACAAGCATCCCAAAGGGAGGTGTGAAATGCAGCCTCACTATTAAATCAAAGCTAGCACAGTAATTACAAATGTGCCCAATACAACTGATCCCTAATTAGCCCTTGCTTTGCTAAAGAATCAGCCAATGCATTTGCCTCCCTTCCCTCCTATTGTATACTCAGGTTCATCTGTTGTGTTAACCAATGGAACTTCTTCATTTCATTCTACAACACCAAATAACTGAGTCTGGATTTCTTAGCCAACCTACCACCACCTTTGAGTCCCCTTTAATCACCAGGTTCTCCAAATTCATGTATTTTGCAATCTGAACACCTTGTAAAACTGCAAACAGTTCAGCCTTTAAAGAATCTCCAACCCCCATCAGTCCTAAATAAAGTGCTAGTATAAACCCTTATCTCTTATGACTCCAATTCCCAAAGGACCCTGGGTTGCCTTGACTACTCCCATCAAAGTTTAATTTCAGAAAGCCTTCAAGAGGAGGTGCCCACACCAACCTTGTTTTAATTTTTTGCACTAAACTAGATGCCACTGAAAACCAGTTCCTCCAAATATCATCAAAGGAGAACTGTCTAAATAAATCCAAAGTTAATAGCCAATGCAAACAGTTCCTCCTTTTCTTGAAAGCTTCTTGCATTTCTTTCTTCCCATAAGATCCAAATCACTGTTGCTCTAGTGCATCTCCACGTTATTCTTCCCCTTCTTTTTGGCCAAGCAAAGGTAGAAGGGTCAAACAGTGAATCTCCATTGGCATGTTCCACCTGCACCCAAACAGAGAGAAAAACCAATCCCAAGAGTACACTACTTCGGGGAAATACACAAGAAAGGCCTTTTCTTGCAAAGAGTACACTACTTCACCATCGGACTTGCAAAGAGTACACTACTTCGGGGAAATACACAAGAAAGGCCTTTTCTTTTGCAAGTAGTCCAAAGTGTTAATCTTCCCATAGACCACTTCCCAACAAAAAGCCTTAAATTTGGGGGGAATCGGCTGACACCAAACTTCCTTAATAGGAAAAGAAAGAGGGGTAGGGGACTGGCAAAGAGCAAGAAAAAAAGAGGCACAAGAAAATAAAGGGGAGAAGTTTGGTGTTTGCGGATTTAGAGAGGCACAGGAAAAGAAAGAGGGGTAGGGGACTGGCAAAGAGGAAAAATTTAGAGAGGAGGTAAAGAAAATCAAGGGGGAGAAGGCTCCTGGTCCATATGGGTTTAATATTTCTTTTTATAAAGCATGTTGGAGAGTAGTGAAAAAGGAGATTATGGACATGTTAGGGAGTTGTGGGTGGAGGGCCTTATTTGAACTTTGAGATTCAGCAGAATTATAGACCTTCATTGGACCTTGAGGTTGAGCTGAATGAATGTCCAAATTTTTTACTAAAATACTAGATTTCTCAATAGGAGAGAGGATAAGACTGGATAATCAGATTGTGCTTGCTAAAATACCAGTATTGAGAAGACCCAGACCTGACAACCTCCCCCTAAAGAAGTTGAAAAGATGTCAATCATGCCTAGCTTCCTAATTAATGACCCACAACTGATAATCCGTTCCATCCTTTACAGCTGTAGCAGTGATTAACTTCAGTTGAATTTCTCTTTATAGTATTGAGTAGAACCATGAGCAGTTCTAATGGTACTTTACAATAACGATACAAATTTTTTAGGTCCTGTACAAGGAACCCAAGCTCATGAAGCAGTGAATTCAACCATACAAGGTTTCACACTCCATGTGCCATAGCTTCATACTCTGCTTCTGCACTTGACATTGCAACTACCAGCTGTTTTCTCATAAATGATGTGGACGGAAGTTGTTATTTGGTATTTCATTATATGATATATTTCATTGACTCAGATAGCCTTTTTATCTCGAACATTTATATGAATTATAGCTCAGTTGCATTTTTCACCAGGATACCTGTACAAGGATGCCTTATTGTATCAGATACTTCAATTTTTAGTTTAAATTCTGTATCTGACATCGTTTCCTGCCGTGTCCTCGGCACATCTACATAAAGTAGGTGTCTGCTCAACTCTCAAAGGAATACAAGTCCTAAACATTGTAATAATCTGAGGCCTGCAAAATGCATAGTTTTTCTGATATGCTTCCATTTTACAAAAAAAAAAACAATGTCAGTAAGTTCATGTCTTTCGTGTCCATGACAATACTCATGTGGAGAATATTGCCTCTGTTTTTGTTTTTGATTATGGACAGAGGAAGAGAGTAACCTTCTTGGAAGAAAAGCCTCATCTCAAGGGAATTATCAATAGCATAGTTTTCATGCCATGGGTTGATTTATGTTTCGCAACTGGTGGAAGCGATCATGCTGTGATACTTTGGAATGAGAAAACTGGTGAAAACTTATGGAAACCAAAGGCCTTACACAGGAATCTGCATTCTTCAGCTGTCATGGGAGTTGCTGGCATGCAGCAAAAGCAGATTGTAATGTCCGTTGGTGCAGACAAGAGAATCATTGGATTTGATTTGCTAGCTGGAAGAGCTGATTTCAAGCATCAAATAGAAAGTAAATGCATGAGTGTGTTGCCCAATCCATTGGACTTCAACCTATTCATGGTGCAAACAGGGTGAGGGACTAAAGAATTTGCTACAGGAGCCTTATTTTTATCAACTTGACTTTTTCATATCTATACTTTTATGCTCACAAATATTTTTTCTGTTAGTCATGCCATTTACTACACAGCGGAGATTTTGTTTTGTTAGTCTGCAACAATACACAATTCAGTCAACTGAAAAGAATTTAAGAGAACTGAGAACCTGTGATTGAGTTACTTCATTTCACCTTTCGAACTAGTCCTTCCTAGCTAACAATGTTGATGTGTTGCAGTTGCACAGAAGTAGCTTCAGAAATGATATTGACCTGTAAACATGATATGCATGGATGTGGAACAAGCTCAACCTATTCACCTAGAGCTGTTAACATATCAGATTTGATTGATCTGGTACACATCTGATTCAATCATCAACCCCTGGATCCAAATCCAATCTGAAATCCGAAATGTTGGACTCAGATTGGATTTGAACTTAATCCACATCCATCTTATTTAAAATGATAAGAAATTAAAAGAATTTTAGAAAACCTAATTATTTTTTACTTATACATGTATAAAAATATATATATAAATATAAAATATTAAATATATCATTTATACGCTTTATGTAATTGTACATAATATCTTATATATAGTGAATGTGGATTTTAATTGGACTGGATGGGGTTAAATCCATATCTGATCTGATTATTAATTGGATGTGAGTTCTAACGTCCAAATCTGGGATAATTGGATTTGTAGTCAAATCAGGTGTCGGGCTTTAGGAGTCCATTGACAGCCCTTAGCCTATATGAATTTAATCACTAATTTGTTTCTTTGTTCCAGTTAAAACTGTCATACATAGGATGCTCCTACAAATTTTGCCATTTCCCTGCTCTTGGGTTTTTTGAGGCTCTAAGTCATAAGAGGTTCAATTAGTTAGTTGCAGTGGGAGGCTTCAGTTTTTAAGTGTTTGTCAACCTTTTGCTCTGCTAATTTGCCATCAAATTGGCACATAAAATGTTTATGTACAAATTACACCTATTGTTCTACTATGTTGTCACTGCATGGATGTTTTCACATATGCATTGCTTTTTCCTATCTGCAGGGCTCCCGAGAAGCAGCTTCGGTTGTTTGATATCAGGTTGAGGCAGACTGAGATTCATGCATTTGGATGGAAGCAAGAAAATAGTGAATCACAATCTGCCCTAATAAATCAGTCTTGGTCTCCTGATGGTTTATACATCACATCTGGCTCAGCAGACCCCATGATCCATATCTTTGATATCAGGTACAATGCTCAAAGACCTTCTCAATCAATAAAAGCACACCAGAAGAGAGTTTTTAAAGCAGTTTGGCACCATTCCATCCCACTTCTCATTTCCATATCTTCTGATCTGCACATTGGGTTGCACAAATTGGCCTAAAAATGTACCGAGCTAACTTCTACATTTTCTGTCCCATTATGCACCTATTTTTGTTTTATCAGATGAGCTCTTTATATGTAAAGGAACTGCAGTTCGTCGGTGTTTTTCAAACAGTAAAAGCAAAGCCATGATGGGCCATAAGTAATGAAAAAAAATTATACTCTGGGAATATGAAGAATATCTACAAAATGGCCTGTTTTTAACGTGTGTCCAGATATCTATTTGTAGTAACCGAAAACGTCAATATGGATCTGGAAAACAGACTTATTTTTCACTTTATTAAGGGAGCTGCCAAATCCACTTTCAGCTTTATCCATGAGTAACGTCATTTGAATCATTGAATGCATTAGTTCCAGCTCGTTGGCAACTACCAGTAGGCAGTAGGGTGGCAGTTGGATGGGTTTGTGTTGAGCTTCAACCGAACTCATCTAACGATTCTAACCCACCAACCTGTTAATGACCCATAGATAAAATTAAATGGGTCGGATTCAATCCAAACCTGCCTTGACCCAAGTACCAAACCCAGCCCATTAATCTTTTAATTCATTAAATGAGACAGAATATAGCATAAATTGCAGAAATGCAAAACTTAACAGAAATTATAGAAAAAAAAAGGCAAAATGAAAATATATATATATATATATATAATTTACAAAAAAATAATATACAAAGAAAACCCGGAAATTACAGAATAATATAACAAAAATTATAAAATAATAGCATAGAAAATGAAGGAAAATGATAGAATTTACAAAAAAAAATAGAAAATACAAAATAAAAAACAGAAACTGCAAAAAAAATAAAAAACAGAAATTGCAGAAATGCAGAATAACTCTTTTATGTTGGGTCTTGAAGTAACTCTCTTTTATGTGCTGAATAAATTACATTACCTTTTTCCAAAAATAAAAAAATAAAAAACAGAAATTGCAGAACAATAATCCCAAAAGTTATATAAAAACAGAAAATGAAGAAAATCAACAAAAGTTACAAAGAAAAGCAAAAGTTATAGAAATTTAATAGAAATTGTAAAATATTATGATCAATGCTTCAAAAACAAAGAAAATAGAGAAATTGCAAAATGAACAGGAAGTTGGAATTTCTTTCTTCAATTGGAATGAAGAAATCATTGCTAGTGTAACATGGCAAATGACAATTTAATGGAAGACCAAAAATAAATTTCAAAAGTCTATGTTCACTTGTTCATTTTCAATTATAGATACAAAACCATAAAATAACGGTAATGACTCAGCTCTATTAAGCGTCCACCGAAAAGTAGATTGTGATTGCAGCTTTAAAATGGTGGATTGGTGATATTAATCAAACCCAGCCAACAAAGCTCTATCAAGTTTTATCTTGTGAAGTTTGGGAATTGGTGGTCCTTGGTTCTTTAGCTCCCAGAGAACAAAAAAAAATCTGGCAAAACCAAGCTCTGTAAAGTTTCATCGGTCCATCATTATCATCAAAAAGAAAGTTGCCACCGAAGAGCAGCAGTTCTACCTTGGTCTCTAGAAAGATAATACTAATAAGAGATTCTACTGAAACTAAAACAGGAATGGAGAAATCCACAATCACGGAACTCATCTATTAAACAGTGCAAATGGATGGGAGTTTCCTGTGTCCAAGGTTCAGCCACCAGAACCTTGCTATTGTTGATTTCGTGCTGATTAGGGTTTTTCTAATTAGAGAGAGGAGGAGAAAAGAGATACATAGGGTAATCTAGAGTTAGAAAATGGTTAGCTGCCATCTCCAACCTCATATTAGGGTTGGAACAAAGAGAGAGATGAACGAACAGAAGAATAGAGGGAAGAAAGAAAATCAGAATTGAATATATATATATTTGAAAATTCCTGATCTTTTTAATGGATACCCATAACCCATTGGGTACCATGACCCAATCCTCCCTAAGCTATCCTTTATTGGGTTAGCTGACCCGTCACATCTCTGTCGCACCGCACCTCGCCCCTCACAACGTGTGACTAACACCTGTCTAATCGCACGCGGTGGGGCGTTCCCGCGTGCGGGGCTAACCGGATGAATGTTAGCCCCAAAACGATTTCAAAAGGGCAAAGTGCGAGTTTCTCCCATATTCCCGCTCCCTGAACCTCAAATTGGAGGCTTTGAACACCATTCTAACCCGAGCTCAGATCTCTGCCCCCATCTCCGGCACCGGCGATCACTTTGGTCACCAAGTGTGTCCCATATTGAAAAACAAAGATTGGAGCTACACTAGCTAGTCTCACCTAATTGAAAAAAAAAAAAAACAGAGGTGGTGGCAAGTAATTGAAACTCTCACTAGCTAGTGTCGATGGACTATGTGTCCCAGATCATCACCACGGTGATCACCCCGACCCCAAACAGCACAGCCATGAAATTGCAAAATGATGACTCATTGGTTGACGACGATGAGGGGGCGGTGTCGTCGCCATGGCCATGGGTGGAAATAACAACGACGAGAAAGAGGAGGAGAGATGGCTCGGCAGGCATTGGCGTATACACAGAAGAAGAACAAGGATGAGGGGTATGAGTGTCTGATGTACATATAAAGATGGGTGGTGAGAGAAGTAGAGGTCTAAATTAAATGAAGAGGTAAGTTTGTATTGGATTGAATGCTTCTTCTTTGTATTGTCTACTGCGTATAGTAATATGCACGAAACCAACGAATGAACGAGTAGAAAGACTAGAGGGAAAGAAGAGAATTGTCTAAGAGGAGAAAGTCTCGAAATATAGGAAGAGAAGAGCGAACAGACACCCGGGCCAAGCCAAGGCAGACAAAACAACAGTTTCCTGCTTCCTAAATCCTGGTAGTCGTTTTCGGTCCAATATTGGATTAAAGTGGATAGGAAGCTCAAAGCTAATGGGTATGGGGTTTGGCCGTCTAGAAGTCTACCTGATGACCGAAGCGATCACCGATGCCGAAGATGGGGGCGGAGATCCGAGCTCGGGCTAGAACGGGGGTCAAAGCCTCCAATTTGAGGTTCAAGAGGTGGGAATATGGGAGAAGCTCGCACTTTGCCTTTTTTAGAACATTTTGGGACTAACGGGCAGGGCTAACGTTTGTCCCGTTAGCCCCACACACGGGAACGCCCCACCGTGTGCGATTGGACAAGTGTCAATCGCACGTTGTGTGGGGCAATTGTGGGGCGAGGCTGTTAGACAGTGTATGCCCTTCGCTTCAATCAGATTGATGTACTTATTGTCATTTATTGTAAATGAATAGAAGTGCATAATTGATTCATGTGATTTGATGTGTTTTTGTGTAATACCCTTAAACTAGACACTTATGAGATTCGTGTTAATTTAGAATCTTCACAGCCGTTGGATAGATCTGGGGAGATTTATCCTGCCAAGGCTGACACTGATGTACCGCCAAGTTGGTTGGGTTGGCTTATCTCAGCTACCAAGGTGAGACTTGAGGTACATGCAGTGTGGGTTTTCTGGAAACCCTGAACTATACCAAATTCCAGTATTGTTGTGGAACTTGGAGATAGATGGGAAAAACTTGAATGTTACACCTAACCCATAGACTCGATTATGGTACTTCACTAAGTGTCGAATTGGGTTGTCTTTGATGTGCCAATCAGTGAGATCCTTAGAGGGGGTCAAAACCTAGGTATGTTGGGACAGTCCGAGAATTCACCTGAGTAGGTGATCATAATGATAGGATCAACCCCTTTGTCGGACAAAGTGAATGATCGGGGAATGCACTCTCTCTGATGGAAACTAAACTATCGACAGTGGATTTCAATATATATATATATTGCAAAAGGTTTTAATTCATGGGATCCATGTGAGTAGAGAGTGCAGTACTGTACCTTGCAGCCGAGGGAGAGGTCCTCTCTTGTCAGGCAGTGTTTGATCATTAAGGGCTGAGAGGTTAAGTGTAAGACCATTTAGGGATAATAAACCTGATGGGCTAATCTCACATAAATCCATAGTCCCTGAGCCTTCATAAGGTGGCTAGACTCGGGGACCATCTAGTGTAGATGTTGGGCCCACTAAGAGCCCATATTGATGGGTTTAGGGGTTTATTCGGCTAGGCCTTGTAACAGAGGCTGGGCTGAACCCATATGGCTTTTGTGAAGATCAATACTAGGGTCCCACGCCATACAAAGAGAACCAAGTTAGCCAGCAATTAAAAGAAGTGAGCCTGAAAGCTTAATGGGCCTTAAAAGCCCACATCGAATTGGGTATTTAATTAGATTAAATAAAAGGTGGCGAATTGGGTTTATAATTAAAATAGGATTGGCTTATGGATAAGATAAGTCTTATCCATTTAACAGTCCAGATTCAAATACAGAATTGAATCAAAGGAATTATTTTCTAATCAAATTAGGAAGCTGATCCAAACGACGATTATAAATAGGAGGGCGAATTCTCTTCACTGAGTGCTCAGCACTGAATTCTCAATTCAACTTTTCTCTCTTTGTTCTTGCTGCCACCTACTCTATTCGACCTCCTTCTTGGACTGATCAAGATTTGATCTTGATATTATTTCTTGCTAGAAGAAATAATTTGAAGATGTGCTCACATCCTTGGTGTGATTCTTTCTGAAGAATTGGGGTTCTTGCTGAAAAACCTCCATGTTGATCCTGCCTCATCCTAAGCTGTGTCATCTTCAATGGAAGACGGATTTGGCACTCTCTTTKGGTGTGAACACCTACATTGGGAGGAGTATTTGCGTGGATTCTATATCGGGTATCTCTCTCCCTAATATTTGGTTTAGATCTGGTCCGGTTTGTTTCAAGAACGATCCTTGAAAAATGTTGTTTTTCTAAAACTAGGAATAGGATTCCCAGAAAAGATAAATAAATTTTTGAAATTTCGTCCAGCCTTCCTGCATGGTTCGGCCATCCATATGATGGATCTCCCTTCCCTTTAGAGGCGCGGTGGGGCAGAGATGTGAACTCGCCATCAACTTAGGACTAAATAAACGCAACCCAACCTGTTAATWAATGGGTGGGTGGGGCAGCTCAATGGGTTGGGTTGGAAATTGCTACCCCCTAACTACCAGAACAATCTTCACTTTCAGCTTATCTACTTTTTTGTCCTTTTGTTTTATTTCTCCCCTTGCTCTCATCTATATATATACTAAAGTAGAAACATGCCACGTACCCCAACCGAGAACTCAAAGTCCCTCTCCATTTTAGCCCTCCTTGCTCCCTCATGAAACCACCTCATCACTCCCTTCTCCCTCTCTCATTTTGACA